ATGCCGCAAATGACAAATTTCTCACCCTCATAAAAAACAAATCAAACCCAGCAAAATCAATCCAGCAAGAGTGAACTTACCTCTCAAAGTCAAATGACGCATTATTGATAGCAGAGCAAATGACGCATTATTGATGCCACAAATGACAAATTTCTCACCCTCACAAAAAACAAATCAAACCCAACAAAATCAATCCAGCAACAGTGAACTTACCTCTCAAAGTCAATCGGGAGTTCCGAACTCAGTCAGCTTCAAAGAATGTGGTGGACATTAGAGAGGATTCTTTCGTAGTGGAGACTCCATCTCTACCAAAATCCAGGAACAACTGCAGCAGCACGAAAAAGAGATATGCTACTTTGCTTTCATCTGGAATCTCTTCTGCTGAACGAAAAAGAGAAGGGGTTTTCACTTCAATCATAGAATCAAAACAGGGCAATAGCTAGGTAAAAGCCATTAATCATCATACCGAGGATACCATAGATCGCAGGCCTCCCAAGGAGCTGATGACAATGGAGCGATTATAGAGTTTGGGAGCTTTGGATCTTTCTAATTGTGGATTTGCATTACATTAAAAAAGAGAGGATTGTGTTCTTGAGTTTTTCACAGAGAGGGAAAAATCTTCAGCTGAAGTTGGGTTTCCAAACGGGTCAGATTTCAACCCGGTTCTACATGCACCCTCTTTTAAAAACTCACCGTTGGATGAAATCCAACGGCTCTTACATACCCCTCAAAAAAACCCCTTATAACTTTCCACTCACTATAGAAGCACTCGTCATTTCGCTTACTATCATCATTTCAAATAAAAAAGGGCTTGAAGGGGGCCTATTCCCCAGTATCTGAGGAGTTATCCCTCTTGCTGTCACGTTGCCATCAAATGACGCTATTATCACAAAATCAAGGAGGAAACAACGCGCATAATTTCAGTCAGCCTTCTATAGTGCACCAGGTGCTCCCATGCGCCATTTGTAATTTATGAAGCATGTGCAGTGCACATGCTAATTGATTTGTTAAAATAAATAAATAAAAAAACCTCTATAAGAGGTCAAGGTAATGGGTTTTTTCTTTGGTATTTTAGCGTGCAATGCTCCCCAAAATTAGAAATATCCACAAGGCTGATTGATAGTCCAAGAAGTGGAAGTTTTGGGCTACTTGGAAGCACCAAAACTCAAGTCCATTTCTTGAGCCCAAATATATGGGTAAGCATGAGAGAGAAAACCCAATACCTTAAGAAAATATCCAATGACCTACAACACTTGGAAATATCCCACATCAGTCAAAATATCCAGCGCCTTTGAAAATAAATCATCCAAATCAAAACCAAGTCAAAGACAAGCTATCACAAAAACCAAAGGGAATCCATGTGCGCAGGCTGCTGGAGGTGAAATACCTTTCAGACCAATGCCTCTACCCATTTTTCTTTCTTCTGCAAGCTCTAGTAGGAAAACCAGGAAGAAAAGTAAGGGGAGCCTCATCCACATGAAGGTGCTGCAGAGGCCAATTGCAAGAAAACCTTGGAACCCCAAAATGCTCTATCCCAATGTGCATGGATTGAGGAATTTTTACCAAAAGGGTTTGAATCAAAGGACGTAAAGAGAAATGGAGGAAAAGACTTGTCAGATTTGGAGAGAACCAGCTAGGGTTCCCGAACCAGAAGGAGCTTCCAGCCTCTATAATTGGGGCATCTCTTACCCATTGCCTCAACACATCCAGAGCAAGTAAGTATCCTCACTCACTACTGGAACCTTCGATTTCAAGCCTTATTCTCCCATCTTCTCCTTTTCTCTTCTGGCAAACCATCCAAGAGCACAACGAAGCTTTCGTCAAGCGGCTGAAAATTTACTCAAGCCACCCATCCTTCCATCTGCATCTCTTCCTCTCTTCCCTAAAAAAATCTTCCCAAATTTCCCTCTCTTTGAACTTCTATTTCTCATTGGAAATTCAAGCTTTCTCTCTCTAATGCTAAACTCATGAACGCTGAGCTCCCATGCCACAAGCTTCTCAAGCCAAGCCAAAATATTGATTTGTAAGCAGCTGTTTGTTTTGTTGGTGAAAGAAACCAAAGTGCTTCCTAAGGCTCCACAAACCTTTCAAAGCACTCTTGGGGCTTGATTATTGAACTTAGACATAGGGGCAACTCCACCCATTAATTTGCTCTTTACAGCAGCTCAGGCCCATCTATAGTTGCTGGAATAAAAAAGCCCCTACAATTACCAAGGCTTCCATCTTGATCATCCTACAAATATCAACTATCCTAAAATCCTTAGGGAGTTTCACTAAAACACCCAAAATGGGGGCTGAAATTATAAAAAAACCAAACACCCAAAACAATTTATAAACACACCCAAAACCCATCATTATACACACTCAAAACCCATTTATAAACACACCCAAAAAATATACAATTGTTGATTTTATGGTTGATTTTGGGTGTGTTTCTATGTTTAAATAGTACTTGGGTTTTTTTATAAATACATGTCTAGGATTGGGTTTATTTATAAATTTATAAAATCCTTAATCCCAAGATTACAAGCTTATTACTTTTCTAGGTCTACGAAAATGTGAATTACAAAGATTTGGAACGAAGTTTTTAATTCTAATAAAAGAAGGAAAATACTTCCTTCCTGGACCTACTATATTCCTGTCAATAGCAGTGCAACATGTGTGCAAAAGTGTTTCTTTTTGTGTTTTTGATGAATTATTTTTACATATATGTCAAAATGTGATTTTGTAGAAAGGAGAAGTATCTCCTTATAGATAAGGAGGTAATCAATATCCATAAAAGAATCTCTTCAAAAAAGAAAGGGTGGACTCTAGTTACAACATATCCAAAAGAAAGTATTGTAAGACCGAAGGGTTTGCCTCAATGGCCCCTTCCCCTCTTTGTCACCCATTCGAATTCCAGGAAAAGTGCCCTCAATTACTGTAATTCAAAAAAATAAAAATAAATAAATAGATAAATAAACTATATTGTAATTGAGAAGTTAAGGTCTCAGGCTCACTACTTACTATTCAATAAATCCTAAGTCAAATTTTGTGAAACTCGAGGGAAATTTAGTTCTGACTGTTCATTACAAGATTTACTAGTTGAGCACATGCAAATTCTTCACTTGAACAATAAACTAATAAAACGTTTAACAATGAACTCACAGGCGATTTACAGCATTATTTTTTAATTGGATATTTCAGCTACCAACTAATTAAATCCAAGTCTGAAAACCACATATCTTTATAGAAAACTAGAAGGTGTCAACTGAAAGACACCGTGGTTTTTGGTTGTTCATGTCACAATGAATGTAGATTCTCTGATTTCCAAAATTTATTGTCACTAAGATTCATGTCTTCAAGTGATCCTGAAAAAAACAAAAACAAAAAGTTTCGTCACCCTTAAGGAATTAAATATGTCTCCATGTCCATGGTGTTCTTAATCAGTACTCAGAAGTAAAGTCAATATGAACAAGTCAACATGTTACATGTAGTTTAGTAAACCTACATATGTGGGACAAATACGATGACTTATGTGCTATCCAGATGTACGGTAGCTAGAACCCCAAACTATTATCATACCAGGGTACCTTGACAAAGGCCTTTTGTCTCACTCTAACAATGTCAACTGTATTAGTTAATGTTATATATGGGTCTTGCCATACGTGATTGGCTGTGGATGATAAATCACCCACAATTGTATCGATTTCTGTCATTTTCATTTTATTGTTTAAGCTAACAAAAATATTTGAAGTCAAAGAGTGAGGAGTACTATATTTGAACTTGTGCTACCGATGACCGTACAAAAACTTTGTAACTCACGCCAATAATATTAGAGAAATTTATGTGTAACGGGAATAACACTATTTTATTGCCTCTGGTCAATAACACAATGACTGTGGAAAAATTATCTCACGTGTCATTGTGTCATTGGCCCTGAATAGCACTCTTTGCTATTCCCGTTGCATGAAAGTCTTTTTCAAATAGGTAAAATCTACATATTCTCTTTGATAAGGCAATTTTGCATACTTCAAAAGTAATAAGTATATTGAGTCCCACCTATATTTTATAATAAAATATCATCTCCTCTATCCCATTATTTTTTATTTTATTTTATGAAAGGATAAAAGTAAATATAAAAGTTAAAAGTAAACTATACAAGTACAATTGCATTGTCTAGCCCATTGGAGTGATCAACTTTTTTATGAAATGGGTAGGCAACATATATGCCACCTAGTTTTTAAACGGGTTGTTACCAAATAGGCCCTTGTGGGGTCATTTGTTATATAGGACTGTTTTAGCATGGACTATGCTTAGAGACTGTCTTGGCTTGGCTTGGCTTGGTCTAAGTTGGATAACGCTTATCCTGCATTTGGTGTATGCTTAGACTAAGACTAAATTTTTTTATTTTCAAATATATATATATTTATATATATGTATATGTATATGTATATATATGTATATTAAATATATAATTTATATGGATATATATAATAATAATAATATATGTGTATATATACATATGTATATTATATGATATAATATATAATATATGTGATATATATATATATATATATTAAATTTTCTTCATAGAAAAATAAGACGATGAGTTGTAGGTAAGAAAAAATTAGTTTGAAGGGTAATTAGCTACAGTATTCCTGTTGGGCATTAAAATAATGATGCACTTAAGCCTCTGTGCTTGACATTATTGGCTTCGTTCTGGGCCAGCTTCCTTGTATAATTGCATTCTTTTTCTTTAAATTTGTAAATAAACTTTTATTTACAACATGTGTCTTTGGTCATTCTTTATTGATTTCCTTCAGACAAAAACAAGTACGAAACTTCATGGTTCGTCATTGTGTACGATTTCAACGTGTGTTGCTGTCATCTTCGTCCTAATCCATCCATCAACATTTACACACACACACACAGACATGTATATATATAGAGACACACACACATACTCTCACCATCCACTATTTCTACCACAGCTTATCCTCGATCTGCTTGTGTTAAACATGAAGCCGCATCAAACCAAACCAACTTCCATTTCTTATTTTCTCTTCTTTGTATTCCTCTTCTCATATTTTACATCCCTCGCAGCTCAGGAAGTTGGTAATTATAGCACAATGAATTAAAACAATGTTTTAGTTTGCCTTTTCTTCTCTTTGGTTTTTTCTTTTTTAGAGAAAAGAAAGTCATTAACATATCTATTGTGGATATTGCAGAGGATGAAAGAGAATTCGATTATCTTCATGAAAGTGGAAAGGGGCCAAAACAGTGGGGAGAGATAAAGGAAGAATGGGCAGCGTGTAAGAATGGAAGCTTGCAATCTCCTATTGATTTATCAAGTCATCGAGTCAAATTAATCCCACACTTGGGGAATCTCAAGACCAGCTATAAACCTGATAATGCAACCCTCAAGAATAGAGGCCATGATATTTCGGTAATATATAATTAATTAGCTCCATCAACTAATGATCGGAACTGTTCAGTTTTTTTTTTAAATTCTTTTTGTGCAAGTACGAAACTAGAGGATTGAAATTGTCGAAATTAAAATTATAAGGACAAAAGCGAAAGCTACTCAAACTAAAGGGACCAATTATGTAAATCGACAACTTATCTTTATTTATTATTATTTTTATACAAGTGATATTGGGTGAATGAAGAATAGAACCGAGGGCCTTGAGTGCCTGAATAAATATTTTTAACCACTTGAACTACAATCCTTTTAGACTACTTATCTATTATATGTGTGTATGCAGGTTCAATGGGAGACGAATGCGGGATCAATTGAGATAAATGGGACTGAGTATTTTCTAAAACAATGTCATTGGCACTCACCTTCCGAGCATTCAATCAACAACAGGAGCTATGACATGGAGCTTCACATGATTCATATAAGCCCTGATCTCAACGTCACAAACAAGATCGCTGTTATTGCAGTCCTCTACAAGATTGGTCGTGCCAATTCTTTCCTCTCTACGGTACTCGATCAAAATCAAATTCTCTCATACGTAATTATGTTGTTAGGGAATCTGGACCATTGATCTAGTTGGTTTTTTGCTCGAATACATCTTAGATATTCATAATTTGATAAAATAATAGTATGATAAAAGAACATTATTCTTTAACTCGTGACGACCTCAACCTCCTCTTCATATTACGGAAATACTATATTCTCCTAACATGTTGCAAATTGTGAATGAATTTCAGTTGACGAGGCATGTTAAATCCATGATTGATGAAAATCATGAGATTAGCATTGGGATGACTGATCCTAGAAAAATTAAAATCGGCGGGAAAAACTATTACAGATACATGGGCTCACTCACCGTTCCTCCTTGTACTGAAGGCGTTATTTGGACCATCACTAAAAAGGTAATTATTTAATTACAATTATAGCCTTTCCTTTTAATTTGGGTCATCTATTAAACTATGTGACCCTTTTTCAACATTTTGGTGTCTCATCAGATAAGAACAGTGTCAAGGGATCAAGTAAAGTTATTTCGAGAGGCTGTGCATGATGTAAGTATTAGTTCAACTCTGAATCACTCGTCTATTCAACCCCACACTAAAATCAAATATAAAATATAAAAATATATAAAAATATATATATAAAAAAAACAAAAGGTTCTTAAATACAACGGTCGCTAACCTTGTAGCCCAGTTTCATTTCGGTCCTCAAATTCAATTTACAATTTTTGGCGTCCTTCAATTGTGTCGCTAGTGGCAATTTCATCCTTCTATCGATATGACCATCAATTTCAGGAGTAGAACTATCAATTCATGTACAAATCACCCAACGGCTTACCCATTTTAATGGCCATATTGATGGAATTAGACGAAATGGTAAAATTGGTGACCAAAATGAAACTCGGATACAAATTCCCGGAGGTGACATTTTAATTTATGCCCCAGACCACCCAAAAGTCAAGACCGACCCTGCAAATTCATATAAAAAACCAGACTGAAAAGTATTGAAATCATATATTCTTTTGTTTGGAAATTGATTGCAGTATGCGGAGGTGAATGCAAGGCCGGTACAACCACTCAACCTTCGAGAGATCCACGTCTATGACCATAGCTCAAGGAGCACAAATAAATCCTGAGGATATCAACTAGGCACAGAGTTTTCTCACTACATGGATTTACTATTGCTTTTCCACATGCTAAATGACGCACTATATATATGTTGAGCAGACTTAAATGATTAGTATTCATATTGCTTTATTTATGCTTTTTATTTATTTATTTATTTTTAATTAAGATAATTAATTTATGCTTTTTTTCGCAAACAAAATTTGAAATGACCTACTACCTGTTGGACATTGATGTAAACTCAGCATCAAAAGTCTATAAAGGCACCTGCAATTAGTTGAACATTTGACCTTCAATTAATTTTAAAATAACACTAATCAATAATAAATTTGAATCTAGATTCAAAATAATAGTTTTTTTTTAACAAGCAATTGTGGGAGGGAGTTTTACATACAAACATTGTTGGGTGCCAGGGGATTTCGAACCTCTGCCCATAAAATTTGAGGCCAAAGAACTCAACCAACTGACTTATATCCATTAATAATTAAAACTGAATCCAAAAAGAAAACTACAAACAAATAAAAAAGGAATGCAACCACACTAGAGGATGCCCTACCCACTTAGAGCAACTCCACTCATTTGCCCTTTGCCATGGCAAGGGGGGGAGAGGGGGCGCTAGGGCAACCACTATTCATGTGAATAGTGGTTGCTATTGCAAAAAGCATTGTGTGTTTCCACCCGTTACCATGGCAAAGGGCAATTACTCTTCATTTTTTTTATTTTTTTCACAAATTTTTTTATCTCAATAATTAATTTGGATAATATTTTTAGGTTCCTACTTGTCAAGACTATTCATGTCTCATAATTGGATAAAATTTCGGGATAAGATTTTTGGGTTCAAATTTCGGATGAATTTCAAATTTCAAATTTCGGATAAGATTTTCATCCTATCAAATCAAGCCACATGGCATCTCTATCTGGCCAAAATTTTCTATAAAACCAGAGGATCAGTTCATACCTCTCACACCACATCTTTCTATATTTTCATTTCTCAAAGTTTAGAATTCATACTTCATTCTCAATGGAAGATTTGAGGAGATGCTTGGAGAGGCTCTTGAGAAACAAATGAGAGAAGCCGTAGACGAGCTGAAAGGCAAAGGTTGCGGAGAGAAGAAGATGAACAAGTTGTCATAGTAGTGGCTTTGCTTGATGAAGAGAACCAAGGTCGCCGCCGTGGTTCACAAGTCGGCCGTAGCCCGAATGTGGACAGACATAGGCATTCTCGGGGTAAGAATCTTTTGGAAGATTATTTTATCCCAACTTCTATGTACTCTGATGTTAATTTTTGAAGGCGATATAGAATGCAACCCCATTTTTTCAATAAAGTCATGCATGATATTTGCAATTATGATGCATACTTTGTTCAAAAGTGTGATGCTGCTGGGGTTTTGGGACTTTTTCCAGAGCAAAAGCTTATAGCTGTTATACGACTGTTGGCGTATGGTTCATCTGCTGATCAGGTGGATGAGATTGCCCGGATAGGGAAGTCCACTACGTTGGAGGCCTTGGTAAGATTTTGTGATGCAGTCGAAACTCTGTACACTAGGGACTACCTGCGCAAACCTACTCCTATGGACCTCCAACGGCTTCTACAAAAAGCCGAAGCTCAAGGATTTCCAGGAATGATTAGTAGCATCGATTGCATGCACTCGCAATGGAAGAATTGCCTAACTGCTTGGCAAGGAGATTACGGAAATAGAAAAGGCCAAAAAAGTATCATCCTTGAAGCCGTTGCTGGCTTCGATACATGGGTTGGCATGCCTTCTTAGGAGTTGCCGGATCCCAAAATGACCTCAATGTGCTGGGTCAATCCCCGGTCTTCAACGATGTTTTGAGAGGTGAAGGCTCGAATATCACCTATCAAATCAACAATATAGTGTACCAGACAGGGTGTTATCTAGCTAACGACATCTACCCGAGGTGGACCACATTTGTCAAATCCATTATGAATCCTCGATCCCAGAAGCAAAGATTATTTGCTTCCTATCAAGAAGGATACAGGAAAGATGTTGAAAAGTGTTTTGGCATCCTCCAAGCTCGGTGGTTGATTATTCGAGGTGCGGCACATATGTTTGATGAGGAGCTCCTGAGAAGCATTATGATGACTTGCATCATCCTCCATAAAATGATTGTGGAGGATGAGTATGATTACGATGTTGCAGAGGTCTACGAACCGGATCCCATTAACACGGCCTTGACACGAATTTATGAAAGGTCCATGGGGCCAAGTGGAGAACCGTTTGAGCCAGATCCGTTGGTTAGAGATTGTCGTTTCATGACCCGTATGATAGATCGATATACAGAGATGAAATCTTCGTATATTCATGAAAGGCGTCAACTTGACTTGATGGAGCATCTATGGGCGGTGAAAGGCAATGAAGGTGAATGATGGAGCATAGATGCTTTGGTTAGGTTTTATTTAGTTATGGTTTGGTTGTGTTGTTTTTTTATATATATATTATGGTTTGGTTGTGGGTTGTTATTATTATTGTGCTTTGGTTGTAGTTTTTTTAATTTTTTATTATACTTTGGTTGTTGTGTTTCCTTTTAATTATGTTTTGTTTGATGTATGGAATATGTTGAATAAAAAAGTATTTTATTGAATGTTGTATTTATTAAATAAAGAAAGCCAATACAAGTCATTAAGAATTACTACTACTAAAATAAAATACATGAATTACAACAACTTTAATACAAAACATGAAAAATACAAATAAATAAAAGGTATGCTAACTAATTTAATGGTTTTGATCATTTAACCAATCTGTGTTGCTAGGTCCATCGTCACGGAAAAGTCTTCTTCTCATAACATCCCTTCGTTCTAGCTTCCAAAATTGTTTGGTTTCAGGGGACATATGCCTTGTATCCATGGCCATGGTTTCCCGATCCGTCTTCTCAATGTGTTGTTTGCGCAAATACTCCCTTTCTTGTAAATATTATGCTCGAATTGCCATCTCATTCTCTTGGTGTTTCTTCTCCACATTTCAATTCTTATGGCAGTCTGCCTTGCAATTTCCTCCAAATTTTTTGATGTATTAGTGCTAGAATTACTCCATTTCTTCGCCTTCACAGCCTTTCGGCCAATGGGCCTCGGCTCCTTTTTGATGGGTGAATCTTGACTCATAGGGGAATCGAGAGGTGAATCCGATGTCGTTGAATTATGGAGTGGCGTCTCGTTTAACATAACGGGGGGACTCGTGGGAATAATTCTAAAGCGTTTGCAATTTTTCACCACCTCCCAACATTCATGATGGTTGAAAGTTTTTTTGCCTTTCCCAATTGCACCAAACCACATCTGTGCTTGAATCATCTATGAACAAAAAAAAATAATGGAAATGCAAGAAATATTTAAAAATATATTGGATATGCAAGTAACATAAAAAAAAATTGGAAATGCAATTAACCTTACAAATATATTGGAAATGCAACAAATATTAACAAAATATTATTTATGCAAGAAATATTAAGAAACAATTGAAAATGCAAGAAATATTAACAAAATATTGAAAATGCAAGAAATATACAAAATATTAACAAAATATTGAAAATGCAAGAAACATTAAAATATATATATATATATTAGGACATTAAACTTAATAAAACGAAAATTACAAAATATTTACCTCCCTACTAAGATTTTGCCTGCTTCTATGGTTGTCCCTCGCTTTTGCCAAGGCATCTCTCCATTTTCCCAACTCTTTATTGAAAATTTTCCACCAACTAGACAATGTCATTTCTGTACAAGTCGACCCCGAAATTCTTTCACAAAATTCGGCATGAATTTTTTTTCACATATGACAAAATTTCATCTCATTGCCTGACACGAGACAATGACTAATTTGGAGCCAAGACTCAGACAAGAAAACATCTTCCATGGTTCTCCATGCCCCTCCGGTTTCGATAGAAGAAATCATAAAGATAAGAAATAAAAATACAACTTGAAAAAGAGGAAAATGTTGAGTAAATAGTGAATAATAGTAGAAGTAGAAGAAAATGTATGAGGATTGGTGTTGAATGTGAAGGGTATTGATAGGTATTTATAGAAAAAAAATTCAGAATTTTTGGTATTTTCTAAAAAAAAATTTGAATTTTTTTCATAATTTTATTGCCAAAAAAAGGCCAGCCGTTGGATTGGAGGAGGAGAAGCAGATCGGAGTGCCTAGGCTGCGACAAGTGTCTTTTAGCCGTTGGAAACACACAGGGCTGACGTCAGTGCACGCAAGTTCAAATTTTTTTTACCGTCGGCGCGTGAAAAAAAATTGAATCGCGTGATGATGTCATGCCTGACGTCATCCTCCCCTCGAGCTCGAGCTCGGGCGAAACTAGCCTTCGGGCCAGCCCGTCTTTGTGGGTCCCATAGCCAGCCCGGCCAAAAGTGGCCCGTTGGAATTGGGTTTTTCGAGCAGCCCCCACCCCAGCCTCGGGCTGGGGCTCCTCGGTGGATAGCTCTTACCCTCGTCGTTTAACTCGTGCTATTCGAAAAGACCAAAATACCCAACGTGTCCTAAATAGTCGGTGAAACACATTAAAAAAAAAAAAAATAATACAGCTTGTGCGGTGTCCCGTTTCGAGTTTCAAATGCGTTTTTGAAAATGACATTTCTCCTTATGTTTTTGGACTTGCGTTTGTTATAGCTTTCAATTTCAGACTGCGCTTACAATGTCCTTTTATTACCACTTTTTTCCCTTTCCCTTTTAATTTTCTTTTATTTGTACAAAGTATAGGGCATTTACAAATAATTGTTTTAGAGCAGACCAATACAGTCATAATAAAGTCAATCACCAAAATACAATTTGTCACAATTAAATATTAAACTCATCACAGTATATATATCGTACTCATATTTATGCAAATTGAACTTAAAATCTCTTTTACCAAAGATAATCGCCACTAAACCAAATGCTGGATTCTTAGCCTTTTACAATACTGATAGTTATGAGCTATGTTGCCTTTACACATTTCCTACTAGTTATTAATTCCAAGATATGTTATCTTAGATTTCATGGACTGTACACACATGTACAGAGAGTAACATTTTTGTATGATATCTGGTATCACTACTACAAAAAGTAAAAAAGACGACCAGAAAACAACGATTGTAGGTCAAAAAATCGTCGTCGTGTTTGAAAAGACGACGGTAAGCGAAAATCGTCATGGATAAATAACTTAAACAACTGAAAAATGGAGATCCGGATGGATATTTAAAAAAAACGACGCACCAAATTAAAAAGTGTCGTCTTATTAAAAAGGTTTTCTTCAGAGTTAAACTCTGAGCCCAAAAACAACGACAACAGTTACGAATCCATCGACGTAGAAAGTACTGACGACGGTTTACAAAAATAGCCGCCGTGTTAACTCTTAAATAAACACGACCAACTTTTCTTAGTCAGCGTCGTATAATTTCAAAGGAATCCATGTCGATATATTACAAAACTCCACCGTATTAAATCAATGTACCACGACGGTAAAGATAAATTTATCGACTTATTATTTAGCAGGGTACTACTACGGTATCTATAACTCTACTGTCCACAAAAGTTTGTACTAACCACGTCGGTTTGTTCAATTAACGACGTATAATATTAGTTTACCACGTCTTGAAGTTAAATATACTGCCGTATTTATTCACTTTATACTTCTAACCTTATTTGTAAATCGACGTCTTAATTTGTATTTCTTTTAAGATTCATTTCTTGGATTTTGGAGCCTACATCGGTATACGAACAAAATGACAAGAACTGTAAAAGACCATGATGGTTTATATTCAAAATCGTCGTCAAAGATATGAAATCTTACCAGAGGGAAAGAAGAAGTTGGAACCTTAATTGAAAACTGAAAGTGAAAGAACGTAAGAAAAAACCCAATTTATACAAATAATTTTCAATAACCATGTCGGTCCTCCTACACATAGTGCCGTCTAATATCAAACATCCACATCGGTTAGTACTAAATAGTGACATATGTATGGATGTACCGCGTCCGAAGTAGTAAACTGCGGTTGTTTAAATAGCTAACCACGACGGTTTTCTATAAACAAACGACGTCGTAACTCGAAATATTACTTCTTCAAAAGTAAACTTTTGTAGTGTAAAACTAAGATAACCACGTCGTTCTGGGAATACAAAAAGTCAATTGGTTTTATTACTAACCACGTTGGTTTCTACTTTCTTAACAACGTTGTATATACGTACTAGGGCGGTTTTTGAATCTCTTCATCTTCCTCATAACCAACAACAACGATTCTCTATAAATAGGCGACGTCGTAACTTATAGTATCACTTCTTCAAAAGTAAACTTTTGTCGTGTAATACCCAAATAACCACGTTGTTCTCGGAATACCAAAAGTTAATTGGCTTTATTAATAATCACATCGGTGTCTACTAAGTTAACGTCGTTGTAAAGACATACTAGGACTTTTTTTGGCAAAACTATCGTCGTATTTATCTTTTAGACAATATAAAAACTTTTTCGTCACCTGACCTAAAGTTTTACGTTCTCTCTAACCGATAAATTTTTTTTCTGTTTCCACTCAGTTTCCCTCTCATTTCCCAAAAGCGGCGTGTATGAATCTCTTCATCTTCCTTGTCTTCGTCTCCAAAATTCCAGGGTTCACGTCGGAAGAAAACTTTCTTTATTTTTTTTTAATTTTTAAAAGAACAAGTCTAGAAACAAGACTCCATTCAAAATGACGAAATCTTTCACTTGTTTGAATAAAATCACTACTCCCTCACTCTCACGACGTCTGAGGACGATAGTTTTGTGTTTTATTTGACGTTTTTATTCACACACCACGACGGTAATTAAATCTGTGCTGTTTCAAATAGCACGACTGTAGTTAATAACCGACGTGGTGTGTCAATAAATACGACGTTAATAAGACACAACCATCGTCTTATTTGAAATGATCGTGGGAGAGAGAAATTTGAGCCATTTTTTCTGTATCAACTCATAATAAGACGACGGTTTTCCATTATTCATGTCGTTTTAATTCCCTTACCACGTCATCTTTTCACATCCGTCGTTCTAAAGAATATAACGAACGATTTGTTTTTTCTGCCAACGTCTTAACTTAATATTACGTCATTCTTTTGAATTAATTGTTGTTGTTTTATTTGCAGTTTTTATTTCTCTATAAACATGGTTTCAAAATCTCAAAATAAGGAGGCTCAAGTATCAAAATGTCAAAGCAAGGACCTTGTAGTTTCAAAGGCTCAAATGAGTGAAGCCAAATCTATTCAAAGCAATCCCGTGAAGAGGATGAGACATCAGCGAGGAACCTCAATGGGCGATGGCCACATACTTTTCATTTTTTCTTCCTAAGGCCATATCTTCGCAGCCGCATGATTGATAGTTGCATATTCCTATTGTTGTTTTGCTGATCCTCATCTGAGCCATGTGCTGGCCGCTAGTCCACAAAGGCCTTAACTTTGCCCTTGAATTTTATATGTATATATTTGTTTATTTCCAACTGTGTCCACCGCATGGGTTCCCTACTCAACCAGACCTCTTAGCCTTTTGTTTGTGTTTGGGGGTGGTGAAAATTCACCAAACCTGGGCACCTTACGAAATACAAGTGGCCAGATTAAATTTGAGCGTGGCCAGAGTCCTTGTGGTCCGGCCTTGGTTGGAAGCTCGAAAGGCGGCCGAATAGTTCGAATGTAGTTGAAAATAGTTGCGTTCGGGCAATTCGAATGCGGCTGGAGATTGAGGTCAGCCGGGTTTTAGCGGCTGGGATTGCTGAAGATCTCGGTTGGGTTTTAGCGGTTGGGACTGTTAGAGATCTCAGCTGGGTTTTGGTGGCTGGGATTGTTGGAGATCTTGGCCGGATTTTGGAGTTGAAGCTGTGGCTGGAATTGGAGTTGAAGATTTGCACCCAGGATTTGGAGCACAGATTGAGGGAGCTTCGTGGCGGAGATTTGGAGCACGAATTGAAGGAATATTGCGGTCGGGACCTGCTGGAATACTGCGGCCGGATCTTCTGGAGTATCGTGGCCGGGCTTTGGTTGGAGATTGCGGCCAAGAGCTGGAAGATGAGCCCGGATTTCTTGTGGCTGAAGCCCCCAGTTTTTCACCACTAGATATTCGGAGGGTTGCGTACCCAAAGCTCTGCGACCGAGATTTGGAGCGGTTGGGGGCTACAGGATTTTCGGGCTGGAGTGTTTTAGGTTTGGGGAGGTTCCTTAAGCTGCCCATTTTTAATATATATATATATATATATGTATATATACAAAATTAAATTGGTTTAAATAATAAAACCCAAGCTGCCCATTTATTAATATATGTATATATATATATATATATATATATTAATAAATGAATATAAAGATCAAATGAGGTTCCTCAGCAGATCGATTTTAGTGCTCAACGAATTCAAAGGTCATGAAGGGCATCCTTGTATCATTCCAATTGATCGGAGGTCTAAGCCCAAGCCACATAAATCAAGGAGTTTCGAATGTTCCAAAGCAAGGAAGAATATTTCAATCAATGCAATCCTACGGATTTAGGAGGGCCTTAGAAGGAAAGAAGTTTTAAAAGAGTTGACCTTTGGTCATTCAATGGCTAGCCCATGGGCTGACGAATGCCCTATATAAACCTCACAAGACGAAGACAGAAAACACACAACATCAGATAGACAAACTGTTTCCCTCTTTTCGGCCTGGGCGGCCGATGGAAGGAATTTTTGGTCCTTCTTCTTTTGGATGCGGGGCGTGCCACCACCAAACCCCGAATTTGGGCTTGAATGGAATGAGAATAGATGGATGTGTTGCGCTTCTAACTTCTGACCAAACGATCGATCGGCCAAACAAGGAACCTCCTCTTGGCCTAGATTCTTTCACTTTCTCGGGCTCGAGAATGGTTAGGTTTCGTACGGATTTTTTTTGTGATTTTTAGGGTTTTATGTAAAAATAATGCAATTAAACTAAATATGCGTATAAACGTAAAGACAAGAATTGAAGTGCGATAAAATAAATCAAAGCGATAAATAAAGCAAGAATGAGATAAAAGCGATAAGAACGATAAGAATGATAACATAAACAAACTTGAAATTAAACTCAATTGAAGTGCGATAACAATGAAAATTAAAACAATTGAAATAAACTTGAATTTAAATGACAAGAAATATAAACTTACACTAGAAAAGGAAGAACTCACTACACTAGGTGCTTGAAAAGTAAAATCCTAAGTCTAGGAAAAGAAAAGTGCGAGACGAAAGATAAGTTTTGTTGACGCAGAAAAATGGTTCGGCACTTTCCCGCGCAACTTAGTGATTTAGTCTTTTCGGTATCTGAGGTCCTCGGTTGTATGTGCGATCTGTAAGATAGTAAACACACGGTAAGTCCTAGGGCATCGGTGTGGTACCGGCCGAAGGCTCTCCGATGCTTAAGTAAGTACGGATTTAGTAAAGTTTGAACTACAGATCGATAGGCAGTATGCCGTAAGTTCTGATTGATTACCTTCAAGCTGGGATGGTTATCCTCTTTTATAGGCCTTGGGAGGTGTGCAATTTGTTTAGAGTTTCGATGTGGGACTCTGGGCGTCAGTTGTGAGACTGCCATGCGTCAAAGGGGGCGAGGTTGCCCTAATGTTGCGATCGGTAGGTTTTGTACCGAAGGTGGGTGCCGAAGGCACTCCATGGCCCTGGTCTAGCCCACATGTTCGTCATTCATTGGCTGTTCATTTTGGTATAAACAAGTTTGTTTGTCTGATGTTGTGTGTCTTCTGTCTTTATCGAGCAAGGTTTATATAGGGCACTCGTCAGCCCATGGGCTGGCCATTGAATGGCCAAATGTCAACTCTTTAAAAAATATTTCATTTCGAAGCCCCCCTAAATTTGTGGGATTGTATTGAAGGAGATATTCTGACATGCTTGATTCTTCCTTGTTTTGGAACACTCGAAGTTACTATAAAAAAATCCCTTGATTTCTTTCCTTGTGAAGCCTCCATCATGTGCATATAATCCTTCGAAAATCTAGGCTTGAAATTTATGGCTTAGAACTTGGGCATCCGATTTCTCCTATATTGCCATCCATATAATATATACTAAATTCTAAAAATATATATATATATATTATATAATAGGACTAGGAAAGCTCAGTGTCACGGGATGACTTTTTCAGAGTCTTCCTTTCGTGCGGCCTTAGACTTGATCGCCTCTCGAACAAGCTAAGTCAGCCTCCTTCCTACAACACAAGATCGAAACAAGCAAAGAACAATCGCAAGAGCAAGAACAGTAAGAATGCTTAACAGAGTTTGGGAGAATATATGCTTGTATTGCTACTCAAATGCTTTACAAGTTGTGAGGTGAGGATACACAATGTGTCATCCCCCTTATATACTGTCCCTATCCCACCTACCACCACAGTAGGTGGCTAAGATACAATGTCACCTACCAATGTCTACCAACTACTGTCACCAACTGTAGTCTACCAACTATTGTCACCAACTGTAGTCTACCAACTACTATACAACGAATCTGGACATGTGGGCTAAGAGGTCTAGCATGATCAATCCAACGGGTTGGGCCTTGAACATGCGGGCCGTGACATTCTCCCCCACCTAATCCGGAGACGTCCTCGTCGCCGCGGTAGATCCTTCTCGTTCGAATGCTTCGATGATGTCTTTGTACTTCCACAAAGACTCTTCTTTCTCCCAGTTGCCTTCGGAATCTGGCAGGCCCTTCCATTTGACAAAGTACTCAAAGTACCTCGGTACACCCTTGCGTCGCACTTCTCGCTTGGCCATGATGCACTCAACCTCCTTGTCAAATGAAGTCACCATCAAAGGTGGGGCTCGTTGAGACTCTCCACGACTTGGCTCCTCGGGGTTGGCATGGTAAGGCTTGAGATTGCTCACGTGGAACACCGGATGAATCTTCAATCGGGGTGGTAGTTCCACACGGTAAGCAGCTCTTCCTACTGATCGGATGATAGGAAATGGGCCCTCATATCTCCTCAACAACGCCTTGTGTAACTTTCTAGTGGACTTGTGTTGAGAGGGGTTAAGCTTCACGAAGACCATATCACCTGGTTGGAACACAACATCTCGCCTATGCTTGTCCGCCCATTTCTTCATCTTCCGAGTTGCCTTCTCCAATTGAGCCCGAGCCAGCTCATTAGTCACCTGCCACTCCTTGGCTGTCTTGTATGCAGCTGGGCTACTCCCCGTGTAGCCTGACACCACTGTGTTCGGTGTAATAGGTTGTTGTCCTGTTGCCAACTCGAAAGGACTTGACCTTGTTGACTCCGACCGCTGCAAGTTGTATGAGAACTGAGCAACATCCAACAACTTTGCCCAATCTCGCTGGTTGGCACTCACATGGTGCCTCAGATTGTCCCACCTTGGAACATAGATCATCTTCCTTGTTGCATAAAGAACACCATCATCGAGCCAAAATCTTCTTGTCTTCCCATCTTTGACAAGATCCAATAGACTTTGGGGATCATGCAACAAGCCCTCTCGTATCCTCTGGTCCATGTCATTGAGCTTCCGACTCTTGAAAGCCAATGGGTGTCCATCCTGCATGAGTACACCACCAATAGCAGAATCTGATGCATCAGTGTGTACCTCAAATGGTTTGCTAAGATCAGGAAGTCTCAGCATTGATTCCTCCATCGGTGCCCTCTTCGACTCATCGAAGGCATGATCCACCTTCCTCCTAGGTGGTAAGGTTTTGGGCAACTCCTTGGGCATGACCTCTGCAAACGCCTTAGGGATTGCCTCCACAGCTTTCGGGACGGGTTGGACTTCCTTCTGAACTACATCCATCTTCATAGTTGCAAGGAACGTCGGTTCGCCCTTCTTCCAAGACTTGGAAAATTGCATGACTGACAAGGGCTTCGACTCGCCTTGTTGCCTCACCACTGGCACCATGCATGGCATTGCTCCACCCTGTGCAATGCACATAATATTGTAGAATGGAATGGGAAATGCTTTTACCTCGTCCATGAACTCCATTCCTAGCACGACATCGTAGTCATCCATTGGGATCACGGAGAAGTTAGCTACTCCCTTCCAAGTGGCAATGTGTAGCTCCACACCACGAGCTACTCCATCAATCGGTTTGGCAGTTGAATTCACCGTCTTCATACTGCCTGCTTCCTTCGAGACTCGACACCCAAGTCTCTTTGCTTCCTGCACGGACATAAAGTTGTGCGAGGCACCTGTATCCACCAGGCAACGGGTTGTCTTGCCATTCACCATGGCGTCGACGAACATCACACCTTTGGCTTGAACCTGTGGTTGAGCGACTTTGGCCTGCACAGCATTGAAACGATGAATGGCCCCCATTCTTGCTTCCCTGTCGGCCTCCTCTTCCTTCTCTTGGTTCATGGCATTCAGAGCTTTCTTTCGCGGACAATCCCGCATCATGTGCGCTCCATCGCACAAGTAACAAGCTAGCTTCGACTTGTCTTTCCCCTTGTCACCTTTGTCATTCTTCTTCCCGGATGACTTGTGACCGTCAGACTTGTCTCCCGGCTTGCTACCCTCTTTCGGCTCGTTGTCTTCCCCACCGGATCCACTGCCATTTTTCTTTCCTTTGAACTTGGAGTCGCCTTGATCATTCCTCTTGAACTCAACAAGAGACTCAGCTGCAGCAATCGCCTCTGACAAGGTTTGGACATGTCTCCTTTGTAACTCCAACTTGGCCCAATTCTGTAGGCCACTCATGAAGTACATGAGCTTGTCTTCATCCGTCATGCTAGGCACCTCGAACAAAAGGTTGGTGAACATGGCGACATAGTCCTTCACATTCCCAGTTTGCTTTAGCCATCTCAGCTTCTCCTTTGCCTCATACTTGGCATTCTCTGGATAGAAATGCAACATAATATCCTTCTTAAAATCATCCCAAGTCTCAAGTGTAAACGTACCTTGTTCGATCTCCATAGATCGACGACGCCAACACATGAGAGCATTGTCGGTGAGAAACAACGTTGCCGTGTTGATCTTGGGCTCATCATCCTCGAGCTTCAGATACTTGAAATACCTTTCGATATTCCACAGAAATGTGTCTAGCTCCTTCGCCTCCCTCTTCCCATTATAGGATTTGGGCTTGAAAGAATCTAACACCTTGGGTTCCTTCGGAGTCCGGGTCTTGTTCAAGACAGCTTCCTTGCACAAAGCCCAATCTCCCTTCACATCCTTCACCTCCTCACGAAGCGATGTAAGCTCCGCTAAGAAGTGATCTAGCTTGGTTTGGACATCTAGCCGCATGCTGTCCAGTGCGGAGTTGAGGGCTCCTTGGAATTGGCCTTGAAGCTCATCCACCACAGCTTCGAAGCCACCCTTCGTAAGGACGTCCTCCTCGAGTCGCTGATCGAACTCGACCACGGCAATCTCCATCTTAGAAAGCCGCTTCTCCATCATGGCAACAACATCTCTAGATCGTTCCCTCTTTGATTTGCCCCCACGATCCATATTGACCTTGGACAGATCAGTCTCCACATCGGATCCGCTCTTCGACATGCTTCTTCGAATGATTCGAGCTTTCGCTCTGATACCAACTGTCACGGGATGACTTTTTCGGAGTCTTCCTTTCGTGCGGCCTTAGACTTGATCGCCTCTCGAACAAGCTAAGTCAGCCTCCTTCCTACAACACAAGATCGAAACAAGCAAAGAACAATCGCAAGAGCAAGAACAGTAAGAATGCTTAACAGAGTTTGGGAGAATATATGCTTGTATTGCTACTCAAATGCTTTACAAGTTGTGAGGTGAGGATACACAATGTGTCATCCCCCTTATATACTGTCCCTATCCCACCTACCACCACAGTAGGTGGCTAAGATACAATGTCACCTACCAATGTCTACCAACTACTGTCACCAACTGTAGTCTACCAACTATTGTCACCAACTGTAGTCTACCAACTACTATACAACGAATATGGACATGTGGGCTAAGAGGTCTAGCATGATCAATCCAACGGGTTGGGCCTTGAACATGCGGGCCGTGACATCAAGCTGACATGCAAGTTTCAAAACAATTGTATTTATATATATATATATATATATAATATTATATAATAAATGGAATATGAGATAATGCAAATTAAATTCCGGCCGCATGCATTCCAAACAGCTTGCCCACTTTGAAAAAAGTTCCTAGGTGGTATATAAATATAATTATATATATACATATTCAATCAGCCTGTTTTTATCCTTTTAGCCCCAATGCCTGATACCAAAAGAAGCTCCAGCCGCGTAGAACTTTCAGTCCAAAAAAACCCGGGCAACAATTCACTCGCCCACAACATTCGGCCGCCTTTGAATACCTCCTGCCTTATTCGAGCATAGTTCGGCCGCATTCGGTTCTCAGCCCAGTTCGCACTGCCTAGCTCCGTAACCCGGCCAAGATCTTCCAGCTCCACTCGAAACTGCCCGGTCGCACCTAGCTGCCCAGCTCCATACCCAGCCGCCCATTTTATCCGGCCGAGATTTGCAGCTCCACTCGAAACTGCCCGGTCGCACCTAGCTGCCCAGCTCCATACCCAGCCACCCATTTTATCCGGCCGAGATTTGCAGCTCCACTAGAAACTACCCGGTCGCAGCAATTCTTCCAACCCCGGCTGCATCTCTTTGCATAGCCCGGATGGGATTTTCAACAGCCCCAAACACAAACCTATTTTTCGTCTCGCACTTTTCTTTACACATTTGTCTTTAAATTATATTTAAGTTTAAGCACCTTTACTTTACGCACTTGTTCTCCGTTTCATTACGTTTCACCTTCCATCTACATCTCCACCCACTACACATCATTTGGTCTCTCACATAAAGCCTTGACCCCGAGGTAGTGAAAGAACCTAGGCCGTGATGAAGTTTCTTGCTCGGCCGAACAATCGTTTGATTAAAGTCAGATCTTGGAAGCAACATACACTTACATTCCATCCAAGCCAAATTCGTGGCTTGGTGGTGGCATGCCCCGCACTCAAGAAAGAAGAAGGACCAAAAGTTCCTTCCATCGGCCGCCCTAGCTGAAAAGAGGGAAACAATTTGATATTGCATGAAGCCATCTTGGTATGTTGGTCTGGCGTTGGCAGCATATGACATTAGGCTTTGATTAATTATATATATATATATATATATATATCTTATGACTTATATTAATAACACAAGATATCTTAAGAATTCTTTAAGCACAAGACCAACCACTTCTTTCTTATATCTTATGTGGCCCCCACAACTATTTAAGAAACTTTGATAACTTTTCTTTGTCTGCCGTTGTTGCAGAGAAGTTCTTCTTCTCTTTTGCAAACACACATTGTTTCCCTCTTTTCGGCCGGGTAGGCCGATTGAAGGAGTTTTTGGTCATTCTTTAATTGAGTACGGGGCGTGCCACCACCAAGCCACAAATTAGGCTTGAATGGAATGTAAGTAGATGATGCATCCGAAATCTAACTTTAATAAAATGATTGTTTAGCCGAGCAAGGAACCTCCTCACGACCTAGGTTCTTTCACTACATCAGAGTCAAGGCTTATGTGAGCAACCAAATGATGTGGAGTGGGTGGAGATGAAGATTGAAAGTGAAATGTAATGGAACGAAGAACACGTGCGTAAAGTAAAAGGTGCTTGAATTTAAATATAATTGAAAGACAGGTGTGGAAAGTAAAGTGCATAAAATAAAGAATGTAAAGGCAAGTGCGTAATGTAAATTGCATAAATTAAATAATTGAAATGCAAGTACGTAAAGTAAAGGGCAGAAAGTAAACTAGATTACGAAGAACAGTAAAGATAATGTGAATTGAAATTATTGTAATTAAAATATAATTGAAAAACAAGAACAAGAATGTAAAGGCATAATTGAAATATATGAAAACTAGAGCGGAAAAAATAAGAACTAGGCTATGGCTACATTATGCTACTCCTAGGATAGAAATTGAAGAGAATGTAAAATGACAAGTTGTGTGTTGTGTCGGGGGCCCTTTCTCTCTTCCATAAGCTTGGTATTTGTAGGGGTTACACTGGCGGATCTATAGAGGAGCAAGGAGGTGCAGCTGCACCTCCCCTCGCCGGAAACTTCCTTGGGGATGCCAGAATTTGCCCCTTTGCTAGTGCCCACCAATTGTTCGACTAAATGCCTCAAAGATGTTGAATTGTTTGCTGCATTGTGAGACCCTGAATATTTACCTTATATTGTTGGGCTCGATCTCACGAGCATGTAGGAGAAAACGGCTCATCAATCAAAGCTCCACAACCAAAGTTATGAATTTTTGAAGTTTTTCTACAATATTTGAAGTTAAGTTGCAGAGGCACAGTTCAAGGAAGAAGAAGACTCCGCGTCAGACGTCAGCGCTTCTGATTTTGATTCTTTTTTAAATTGTCCAATAACAAGCCGACAAATGTCTATTTCTAATTGGTCTAAATTAAAAAATTCATTAAAAACTCATATGTGTGCCAAAAAATTCACCAAAATTTACCCCAAACTTTTAATAATGTGTACTTTTGTTTCATGACCTCCAATTTACATGTGCTTTTGGTTAGATTATTTGGTATTGACTTTTGTTAGATTAAATATGTAATTGACATGGATTTTGTTCATATTTGATATAAATTTTGGTAAACTAATTGTGTCAATGACAAAGATTTTGTTCATATTAATTGATATCCATATAGACTATAATCAATTAGTTGTAGACGTAAAACTCTTATTTGTTTTAATTATGAATGACTTTAGTATTGGTTAAATTCTAAGGGCATTTGGTTGTATAATTTTTTTTGAATTTTTAGCCTTATTTTTTTAACACACTACACGGATGTTAGGACTTGAATCCAGGGCCTTACTTGAGTCCTTTGTAAATTTTTAGCCTTTTAAATATTGCACCTCCCCTGAAAAATTCATGGATCCGCCGCTGCACACACACACACAGATATATATATATATATATATATATATACGTATGTGTTTGGGGGTGTTGAGAAATCACCCTGGCACCTTTCAAAGACACGGGCCGCTAGACTCTTGGAATCATGGCCGGGCTGGGAGCTGAAGTTGCGGCCAGGTTTTCCGCTGGGCACGGCCGGGTGAAGTTGGGCAGATCAAGGATTTAGCTAGACGGCTGGAGATCACGGCCGGATCTATTGCAATGCGGGCAGAAATCTGGAGGGTTGCAGCTGGGCGTGACTTGGTCTGTTGGGGGGCTTGGAGAGCTTGCAAAGAAATTGTCGACCGAACTGTGCAAAGTTTATGCGGCCGGATTTTTGGTGCCCAAGGACTTCGCGAGCGAGATATTGGAGGTCTCGGCCGGGTATTGCGTGTTTTGTTGCAACTGAATCTGTTGGGCTGGGGTTCAATAGTTAAGGCGGTTGAGATTTGGAAAGGTTGGAGCCTTGGAGAATTGCGGTTGGAGTTATTTGAAATATCACATATTGGGTTGAGGGTCTCAAAGCTTGGAATTGATAAATTATAGAGATATTTAGTGATATACCCATTCTTAGCACTAATATTATAGATAAACCCTCAATCATTGAATTTCTATAAACAAACCCAAAAAAAACCCCAAAAATGACAGCTGACCTTATTGAATTTAATATTGATTATTAAATTACTTTAATGCCCTATTTAGTGTTTTGGGTATTTTTATGAGACTTTGGGGTTGGGCTTGTTTTAAGAAATTTATGGTAGTTTTGTAATTTATAAGAAGTTAAAGCCTCTTTGTTATGTTGTAAATGAATTTTGGGTGTTTTTATAAAGTTCATTTCATATGGGGTATTTTTATAATTTGGGCCCTCATATTGGGTATATTAGTGAATCTCCCTAAATTATAAAGGAATACCAATGTGCGGCCGAAACTTAGTGGCTAGCGGGGTTATGTTTTAAACCCTCCCTATCCTATTTGATATTAATATAATATATATATATATATATATATATAAGTATATATATAGATGAATAGTGGCGGCCGAAGTTGATTGTTTTGCAAACTGGGGCTGAAGGTTTTTGTCTTACATTATATATATATATAGATGAATAGTGCTGGAATAGTTGACTGTTTTACAAATTGGGCTGAGAAGTTCGTTTGTCTTATTATTATTATTATTATATATATATATATATATATATAATAATAATAGATGAATGGACAAAATGCGGTTGGGTAAATGTGTTTGAAGTCTTTGGTTGATCTCCAAAGTTGGGCTGAAGGTTTTGCGAGAGATTATCTGTTTTATTCTTATATAATAATATAATATATATATATATATATATATATTAATATATGAGATAATATACACGCCCAAGAGATGGAGGCCCAAGTTTAAGCCATCTATTCACGCCCAGATTTTCGGAAGATTATGTGCATGTGACGGAGGCCTCACAAGGAAAGAAATCAAGAGATTTGATAGTAACTCCAAGTGTTCCAAAACAAGGAAGAATCAAGCATGTCAGAATATCAATGCAATCTCACAGATTTAGGAGGGCTTCGAAAGGAAAGATTTTAAAGAAGAGTTGACATTTGGCCATTCAATGGCCAGCCCATGGGCTGACGAGTGCCCTATATAAACCTTGCTTGACGAAGGCATCAGACACACAACATCAGACAAACAAATCTATCTTTCGTCTCGCACTCTTCTTTTCCTAGACTTAGGATTTTATTTTTCAAGCACCTAGTGTAGTGAGTTCTTCATATTTCTAGTGTAAGTTTATATTTTCCTTGTCATTTAAATTCTTGTTCGATTTATATTTCTTGTCATTTCAATTCAAGTTTATTTTGATTCCTTTACATTTAATTGTTATCGCACTTCGATTAAATTTAACTTCAAGTTTATTTCCTTTTCGTTCTTATCGTTCTTATCGCTTTTATTTTATTCTTGCTTTATCTATCGCTTTGATTTATTTTATCGCATTTCAATTATTGTTTTTACATTTATACGCATATTTAGTTTAATTGCATTATTTTTACTTAAACCATAAAAATCACAAAAACATCCGTACGAAACCTAACCATTCTCGAGCCCGAGAAAGTGAAAGAATCTAGGCCAAGAAGAGGTTCCTTGCTTGGCCGATCAATCGTTTGGTCAGAAGTTAGAAGCGCAACACATCCATCTATTCTCATTCCATTCAAGCCCAATTTCGGGGCTTGGTGGTGGCACGCCCCGCATCCAAAAGAAGAAGGACCAAAAGTTCCTTCCGTCGGCCGCCCCGGCCGAAAAGAGGGTAACAGTATGCATATATTTTTCTCTAGCCACACGAATATGAAGCTGCTGACATCTTCAATATCCCATAATGCATGCTTTTATTTTAATTGCCCTATGGCCATTTGGCTTTCTTCGTGGATGCAAGGCCATTTAGATTGCTTTTGTTGGAGGCCATTTAGATTGCTTTGGCCGCAAGGCCACTTAGTTGGCCCTTTTTATAATATATATATTTTTAATAAATTTATTTAACATAGCATGCAGTTTTGACCAATTTTGGGCCAAAAGGCCATTCATTTTGGTCGTGGGGTTATTTGTTTAACCAAGCATGTAAGGCCAAATTATATAAAATAAAAATTTAATATTACTAACATATAATATTTTGCAGATTATCAATCTCCCGCCTTATTGTCGTTCTTCAATGTCTCCTGAAGAAGCAAGAGAGTACAACAATATCTTGGTCGACGCCCTTAATGAAGATGAGACTGCTTTCTCCAACGACTTTTATGATTTTGCGTGGGTGCCTGCCACTTCACACAATATGGTCCTTGGTCCCTATTTTTACGACCGTATGCCCAGCTTTGTTGTTAAAGTCATGCGACCGCAATAGAAAGATATTTGTTTGCTCGGAAAATACCTTAATTGGCAAGGTTGGGATCGACCCAAGCTTATGAGGGGTTGGCCTACTTCAGGGCTGGAAAAATGGAACAAGTGGCTTGATCGATTGTCAAGCTTGTGCAATACGCAATGGAGGGAGGAGGGCATCTATGATGCAATCATGCTTTGTAAGTCCAGTTTCACGTGTGACCGTAATCTTGTCGCAGTCGGTCTTTGTTTTTGGTCACCTTCTACCAATACTATGAAGTTAAGATTTGGGATGATGACCCCAATTCTTCTTGACTTAGCCGCCATGGCAGGTTTTCGACCATGTGGTGGTGAAGTAAGTGCTCTATCCCCATCAAAATGTGAGGTTGATTTTGGTTTCACCAAGAACAAAAGCTACAAAGTTTTCATGGAAGTTAATGCTCAAGAAACATGGCCACTCACGCATAAAGAACAAACAACTTTTCTCATGATTTGGTTATGTAAATATGTCTTCTGCATGGCGTCAACACAAGTTACCTTAGAAGTTCAGCCTCTAGCTGAAGCACTAGCAAAAGGCCATCGGTTGGCCCTTGGACCAATGGTGTGGGCGTATTTATATCGAGGTCTCTAAAATATGGTGTCACTCAACCCAATGAATTGTAATACTACCAGGCCGATTTGGTTGTTTCAATTGTGGCTTCAAGTATACTTTCCAGAAGTACGGCCAGCTCATGATCTATTTGCTCTTAATTCTCTTATTGGAGTAAATCTTTTGTCTCTTCTCATTTTCGGCCTCAAAGTTGAAGATTACTTTGGCCCAAAAGAATTTTCTATTTGTCTAGACCGAGAATTTCCTTCTTATCTTGGGCTAAAACTATGTTCTCCTTCCCCGACAGATAACGGTTGACATGCCTTCCATAGAAGCCTTTGGGCTAGCATTTTATTGAGTAGAGACTTACACCTCGGCCTGTCAGTGGGTACACATGCCAACTACCCGTGTGGGCTTGAGGTATATTTTCCTTCTATGACCGGTCGTCAATTGGGTTTCACTCAAACTCTTCCACTTTCGATAACAGAATCTTGCAATATAGGCACATCCCACAGAGCTAAGTTTAAAACAAAAGCCGAATGTAATGTGGTTTCTGCGGACAACAAGCGAATGCGGAAAACCTTTAATCTGCATATTTGGGATGCCAATTTTAATTCTATGACCCACTTTGATACTTGGTGGAAACATGTCACCCGTGACTAGTTTACATCGGCTGCTGACATTATTTTTGCCAAGCTTTTTCAGAAATGGCCGTCGACAATTAAGGATGCTACTTCTTGCAACTCGGTGAGCGAAACAGGTAAGCAATATTCATGGCTACAAGTTTGATTTTCAACTGCCCACATTATAATGATTCTCAACCATTTTAATTTCAGGTAACGTGGCCAAAGAGATCAGTTCCGCTTCGCCAGCATTACCAAGGAAAATACTACTTACCAAGCGAAACCATTCAACCATGGCTGGTAATGTCCTTACTTCTCTCAGAGCATGTTATTCTCAAGCTTGGTAATTATTTGATTATTTGGCTTTAAATCAGGGGATTCATCCGGTCATGGTCAGGCCGTTGCTTCGGCCAAGCCTAAAGTAGTCTTAAGGCCTAAATCTCTTGTCATTTGTAGTATGTCATTGTCGCTTCTTCCCTAACTTCTTTTCCTTGGCTACGTAATAACATCCTAACTTTACTTGACCTGTAGCTGGCCTAAAGACTAGCATGACGTACGAGTCAAGTAGTGATGAAGATGATGATGGAATAGCAAAAGCTCCAACAAAACGGCCCAAGAAAGATCCCGTCATTGAGGTACTCTCACCTAAAGAATTATGTTACCATTTTTATAATATTCTTGCACGGTCTAACCATTATTTTTGTAGGATCTGCCTGACCTTTCCTCACCCAACCATTCTCAAGAATTCATAGGCTTTGAGACCAAAGACCAATTTGATTCGTGGTCGACAATACTGTCATAGTTGAGGTTAATGAGGCTGTTGTTGCGGCCTTAACTAATGACAACCAAGGGAAGCATATCTCCCCTTTCAATGTGGTCGAAATAGTCAAGGATACAACGCATGTAGACTTTTTTCGTAATCAAATCTTCTTCCTTATCCCTTATGGATGCTCACCCCTTGATTTTTCCACAGGAAATTAATGTTGGGACTTCAAAAACTGTGGCTTCATTAATGTTGCCCATTCAAGTCACTATTGCAATTACAACACAAGAAACTAGTGTTTTGCAGCCTAAAAAGTACTTGTTTTAAAATATATATCTTAAGCAAATGCTCAACTGCCATCATGTTGCTCATGTTATGCACCTTTGGCAGGAAACACTCCCCTCAAAGGCTATATTGGAGTCACTTCAAGGCATGAGAGATTACTTGGCTGCAGCAAGGGCCGCTACCACTTCTTCATACAATTCCTCCTTAAATATTGCGGCCAAAGCCACCGTCCAAACCATCCTCGACAAAGACTATGCGGATTTAGCTAATGAAGCTCAACATGCTTGTTTTTGTTCGTCCATTCAAAGTCTCCTTGATTCTCATTTTTTCCCAACTTAGGAGGAATCTATAATCAAAGGTTTCATGAAGCAATTGGCCGAGGGTATCCAGGCTTTATAACCAAGTCGTGATGGAGTATGATGCTGGCCAAGCCTTGACTGAAAAGATTCAATCAACTAACCATATTTTGCAAGCACATCTTCACATCTGCCATGAGGGAAAAGAAGAACTGGACAAACTTGAGGAGGAACAAAAAAAGATTGAGGCCAGAAAATCAACCATCCTTGCCAGGATTGACAATGCGGTCCAAGACTCTCGGCCACCTCAGGTTGAACTCGAAAAGTTTATGCAGCAACATGCCGAATTCAAAGAGAAAGAAGATGACTACAAGACCTTGATGAATGCAAGAGCCGTATTATGGGTTAACTTCAAAACCGTCATCCAAAAGCATCTTTAAAACCTGTCATGGTCCTTTTATGACCATTTTGTACTTTTATAGCTAGGCTGCATTTGAACCTCAAACTATTTCTCTTTTATTTAGTTGATGAACTTTTGATTTCCATCAATAAATTTCAGCCTTTATTTTAGGCTTTGGATATGACTAAATTTCTTGTTTTTGAGGAAAATAGTATAAGCCTTTCTTCAATATTTTGCTTCTAAGTTTAGGCCGTATTTGCGGCTTAACACCTTTACATGTATTTCTTCACAGAAATAATTTGCGGCTACAATAAAAGACTTTAGTTCAGCCGTTCTTGTATTGAGAAGAAACCTTTGATGGCAGACACTATTCGGCCACTTTTGTCTGTGAACTTTTGTAGTGCCCAAATCACTAACAAGTTCTTTATTTCTTTCATATTTTTATTTTTATTTTATATGGCCATAATACTAACATGACCTTTATCGGGAACGTTGTCGGCCTACTTATTTGGGTAGTGGCCGTCAAAAATAATATTTTTATGGAGACCAAGGGGGTGGCCATCTATGCTTAATTCCAAGTTGTGAGCCCTTCTTATTTTCGGTATGGATTTCGCGATTACGCAAGCTGTAAATTGGTGTACAAGTCACCATGGTATGACCATAACTATTTTTTTCCTTTATGCTGGCCGAATTTCCTTGCCCCCCAAGTCCACTTGATTGGCCGGACTTGGCCTTCTATTGGGGTCTAATAAACTTGACCATTTCTAATTGTGGTCTAATTACATCCGACTGGTCCCTTACAACCGTGTCTATTATGACTGCTTCAAGTTGGGTCGTGTTCAGACATTTCTCTTTTTGATCCTGTTGGTCATTAATTTCAAGGATGGATGCATCAAGTTGGGTCATATTTTGGTGTTCAACCTCGACCGCTTGTTGGATCGCATTGTCTTGGGTGGATTCTTCTTCCTCAACCAACGTGAGAGTTTTATTAGAAAAGTTAATTTGAGTTTTCAACTCTAAGGCTGACTCGTCCACTTCTCTCTCATTCACATATTCCCGATTAACTTCATTTTCCTCTAGAAAAGTTGGTGAAACGGATGGCCGAACTTCAACCATACCAAGACTTTCCTTTTCTTTAACCAATGTGAGGTTTTCAAAAGGTAAAAGGGTCGAAGTACTGAATTCCAAGGCCGATTCATCCACATCATTTTCCTTTATATATTGTCGGTCAACCTCATTTTCCTCCACATAAGTGGGTAAAATGAGTGACCGTATTGTAGTCATTTGATGGTAATTTTTATCAACAATATTAAAACCTTGCAAGTGCACAAATCAAATGATAATATAGTAAGAAAGAAAGGGTCGATCCCACAGAGATTGTGATCTAAAGAGATGTTTATCAATGTCACACAACGAAAATTAAAACACAAGGACTTCCACACACACACCAACACCAAGGGGGGTTTTGATTTGATTTTGTGAATAAAACAAAACAAGGAAAAGAAAAGAAAACAGAATTTAAATTAGTGTTTAAGAGAAATTTGTTTAAAATCAGTCAAGAACAATAGCTAGGACTCACTATCCACCTCCAAACAATCAATCAATCCATAAACAACAATAGATAATCAATTTCTAGCAAGCATATGATGGCGACACTCACAACAAGATCATGGCATTTGACTCGAGTTGTATGATTCTCTCTTACGTGTATGTAAAGTGTATGGCATTTACATCAATACGCGTATTCTGAATTGAAATCTAGTATGGCATTTACTCAAATTAACAATCAAGAATCCATTAAGATGAAAGAGAATATGAGTGTCACAAAAACCCTAAAACATGGCATTTTTGTTATTAGGAATTCAAGAATTGATTTCTCATAACTAGTTCTTAACCCAATTATTCGTTGCAAACAAGAACACATTCAATATGGCAATTGACCTATGTTCTACAACAATTTAATTCCAATACATGCTTCAAAGTTAGCTACTCAAAGAAACAAAATATCAGAATTCACATAACATAGAGAAACCGAAATCATCACGCTTGTAGAAACTGAAAATCCATTCAAACTTGTTTATAAAATTGAAATCATGTTTAGGGCTTCAAGATTAAGCCCTAACTAACAAGAAATTAGTTACTCATGTTCTTGGATGAACTCAAAAATAAATACATAAGAACTGAAAAGTAAAAGAAGAAAGGAAAAGAAGAACTCATTGGCAGATTTCTTCTCTTGTGCGGTTGATCTCCTTAGGACGTGAATCCCTGTATCGGGGGCCTTGGCTGGCCTTTTATATCACTTATATCAGAGTTATAAACCCTAAAATTGACTGAGAGTCGTCCAAGAAGTCTTGGTAAACAAGGAATTCAAATAGGGAAGTCAAGATCACCATTCCTAACTCCATAGGGAAATACAGCTCAGCCCTATTGTCACAGGATTTGGGGATCTTTGGCCTTGTAGAAAAATCCATAAAAATATATTTTAGAAATATAAATTTCTTATCTTTCCAACCATATATAGCACGTAACTTGGAAAATTCAGGAAGGCTTCCGTTTCTTCACATAACATGTACAAAACTGTCATGTCTGCACGTGGGCTAACTTTACTTGTAATACTGTACCAATTGGCTTAGTAGAAAATTCTAGAAAAATCACAGATTGAACTTCAAGATGTTAACTTTCATCTCCAATTGGCCTTGCACTAAGATTCCTCCGAAAAGTTGATTTTTCCTTAAAAACTTTCTAAGAGCGCAGAAAAGCTGAAAATCAGAAAAGTAAAGTAATAAGTCCTTTTTAAATCTAATTCTCCTACAAAACCTAAGTAAAAAGAGTACATAAATGAGTATATTTATGGACTTATCAATATTGTAGTCATTTGATGGTTTTCCGGCTATGGTTGAGATTTAAGATTTTGACTAAGAGTTTGCTCTTCGACCACAAGTCGCGAGGCGATTTCACGCAAACCTTGGATCAAAAGTCACTACTACAAAAAAGGCCAAAGACGACGGGAATTCACCGTCGTGTATTCAGTTTTCAAACCTTCGTGAAATCGACTGCCGTCTATTTGGGTTTCAAACTACGATGGCTTTTCACCGTTGTTGTTTATCTGTAAAGACGACGGTTTTTAAAGAAAATCGTCGTTGTTGTGAGGTAAAGATCGTTAATTATAGGAGGAAAGACGACTGTTTTTAATAAAACCGTCGTGTATTGTATGTAAAGATGACGATTTTTTTTATGAAAACCGTCGTGGATTGTTTATAAAGACATCATCTTTACATACAATAGACGACCTTTTGTTTATAAAAAGCGTCATCTTTACGTACAATAGACGACCTTTTTTTATAAAAAGCGTCATCTTTACGTACAATAGACGACTTTTATTTATAAAAAGCGTCATCTTTACGTACAATAGACGACGGTTTTTTATAATAGACGACCTTTTTTATAAAAAGCGTCATCTTTAAGTACAATAGACGACGGTTTTTTTTTATAAAAAGCGTCATCTTTACGTACAATAAACGACGGTTTTTTATAAAAAGCGTCATCTTTACGTACAATAGACGACGGTTTTTATAAAAAAGCGTCATCTTTACGTACAATAGACGACCGTTTTTTATTATAAAAAGCATCATCTTTACATACAATAGACGACGGTTTTTATAAAAAGCATCATCTTTACATACAATAGACGACGATTTTTATAAAAAAACGTCATCTTTACGTACAATAATGCTTTTTGATTTCCTATGATGCTATACAACGATTTTAACTAGAAAACCAACCATAATGCTTTATCAAAAATAGTTTCTTTCATAAAACTTGAAGATTCAATAGTTATTACATAGTTAACCAATCTTTATTCTACAACAAACATAATTCCTAACAAGACCTACGTACTCCTAATCCAAGCATTCCTCATCCAAACATACAAATGATGCACAATTGAAGTCTCCTCCATCATCCCTGTAAATAAATCAAAATGACAAAGAGAGGAAAAAAGAAGAAGCTAAGATTATAAACATAAAAAATTAGGTGGAAGAGAAATTTTACCATTGGTCCATATTTCCATAGAAAACTTGTAAAATGAGCATAAAAAAGACCATCGAGAACCTGCAAATTTTCAACAACAAAAAAACATACGACTCACATAGAAAACCTGCAAAAGAAAAAGTTATAAATCTGCAAGCTTTCTCCTCATCTCCTGATAACCAAATCAGAAAATCTAAAAAGAAACCAGAAATAAATAAAAATATGTAAACAAATAAGACAAATCAAGAGAGACAAAATCTGAAATTAGGGAGACAAAAAACATACCAAAAACGCAAAGAGACTAATCCAGAATTCACTAGCAAGATATATAAGGGTATTAAGAGATTAGGTGACTTTCAAATCAAACCTTTCAACCAGCTTTAATTCTCAAATACAGAACATCCCTCTACATCTTATGGATTTGCTAAGACCTCAATCTCTCAACTCCTTCATTGATATCGATTTTTTGATGATTTTGTAGAGAGTTTCATGAGGGTGTTTTAGAGAGTGCAGGAGGGTTTCAAGGAGGGAGAGATAAGGTTTTCAGAGACGGGGGAAAATCTGAAAATTTGTCGAGCGCGAATTCACTTAAGTAGACCTTTTTTAGCGTGTTT